ACCTATCCCAACACGACCAGCCACTGTAGTGGCAGCGACTATAACGTAATGATAGCACAGAACACTTGACATCTTTAAAAGGGACCTTCAACAAAAAACAATAGCAAAACAACAAACAACACCAAATAAAAAACGTAACAAAAACAAAACAAAATCAATCAAAGAACTGTGAAAATGAGAACACCACATTATAACAGCAACAGCCAAGTTACAGCCTCTACTCTCAGCAACACAGAACAACCCCCTCCACAATGAAGTAGATAAGTAAATAAATAAATAAATAAATAAATAAATAAATTAATTAATTGATTATTTTGAAAAACCCTTAAATGAAAGAACGAAAAGCAGAAAGGTAGAAAAGTAGAAGGATAGAAATAAGAAAGTTAGTAAATGAAAGAAGGGAAAAGAAAGAAAGAAAGAAAGAAAGAAAGAAAGAAAAAAAGAAAGAAAGAAAGAAAGAAAGAAAAAAAGAAAGAAAGAAAGATAGAAAGAATACAAAGAAAGAAAGATAGAAAGAAAGAAAGAATCGAAAGAAAGAAAGAATAGAAAGAAAGATAGATAGATAGAAAGAAAGAAAGAATAGAAAGAAAGAAAGAAAGAAAGAAAGATAGAAAGAAAGAAAGAATAGAGAGAAAGAAAAAAAGAAAGAATAGAAAGAAAGAAAAAATAGAGAGAAAAAAAGAAAGAATAGAAAGAAAGAAAGTAGGTAAGAAATAACTACAGAGGGGGCCCCGTACCCAAGACGTCGGCGCCGAACTGGTTGAGTCCCATGTGGTCAAAGAGAGAGGACAGGACGGGCAGCAGCACCATGTGCACGTAGTCCAGTGACGTGGCACCACGCGTGATGGTTCCCTTCACATGGCTGAACCGCTCCTTCATCAGGTTCTCCATCACCAGCGCCAGGTCGTCTGCCGCGTTGTTGTAGAAGGGCAGCAGGGAGGAGCGTACGATCTCAGGGCTGTTCTTTACCACCGACCTAGACCAACACACGCACAGAGAAAGTGGTGGTGACCTACCTACACACGTACATAGGTAGTGCCACTGATCATACTACTACTACTACTACTTCTACCACTGTTG